GTATCGTGCAGCGCATAGCAAAGTCTCAAAAACTTTGATATGGTAAATTGAGACTCAATTCAGTTTTTCATTGATGCGAAATGAGTTCACAAAGCCGACAGATGCACCTCTTTACAACAAGATAAGTCCGCAAATTGTCACAGATTTATTGTAATATTTTTTGTTGCTGGTCTTAAATATAGCGTTGATCATTCATCACCATGACCACAAAATCCAACATCAGCAACGTGGCCTTTCGCTCATTCAAATTCAAAACATCTAAAAACACAAAATAATTCTAATTAATAAATATTTATTAATGTATAAAATGTAATCAGCGCTGTTAATTAGGCACATCCGCTCGAAAATTCCCTGCACACTGCACTTCGCCCTCCCGGCACACCGAAACGCTTAGTTGTCACCACAAGCGAGTTTCATTCATAAAAATCTCGAGAGTTTCGCTCGGTTTTTTTTTTAACTTTGCATCTCAAAGCAGCAGCAGCTGCCGCCCACATGCCGTAACGTTGCCGCATTTGCATAGTTTGTAAGCCAAGTCAAGTGATCATGTAGTAAAGAGCACAAAATCGTTAAAAAAAATGTTTTTTTCGATCAGTCAAAAAAGAAACAAAACACAAAAGCCCCGAACCGGTTATTTGCTAGTTGCGGTTTTCGATTATGAAACTGTGTTGTTTTTTATGAATGAAAAAGAACAACAACAACGGCGGCAGCAGCGGCAACAACAAGACTTTGTTATTAACGTAAAATTTGCATTGGAGTGTAGCATATGTTAAGTGTTCAAGCCAAAGACTAACAATTACTCATACGCCCCATTGAACCAGCTCGCTGTCTATTCAGTTCCGTCAAAGTAATTAGAAACGCAAATCTTGCAGCGAAATGATGCAGCAACCCTATGAATCAACACTTCCGGTGAACATTTCGCATTTGAATACAGTTTCGTATTCATATTTCGCTGTGGTTTATATACAGACTTTGTGTTAGCTACGGACAGGTGCCAGCAACAGGTAAACTGAATCATTTCCAAAGCAAATATACAAAATCTTAACAACGCAAACATTCGGGTTTTTGTGTTTATTTATTGCTTTAGATGCGCATGTTGTTTAAGTCTTGACAGCCGTTTCTGTATCTTTAAACTGAAATCGTTTTCGAAGGAGAGGCCACGTCTTTATATGGTGCACACTCTCTGAAGAAGTACTCGTTGAGGTGCAACAGATCGCATCGTAATCTACGCCAATCAAATCATATTTTACAGCTAATACAGCTGCTACAGCTATTCCCTTGACATATTTTGGGTTTTATCTTTCTCACAGCTTTAACAGTTCTCCAGATTCCAGATTTAATTGCGATTATTTGACCCCTCTCCTGCCCAGGCAGTGACTTTTTTTGCAGGACGTAGAGCTGGGGACCACAGCTCGGTGGTATTCTGGCCTGTTGCCTAGTCTTGACAATGCTTGTGGGCTCTGATTGATATCCCGAGGTTATTTTGCATCGATAGAAGATCTGACAAGATAACTGATGCAACTGATAGGCTTACAAGCACGCCACGTGTAACTGCGCCCATGACCCACTTCTATAGACCAGACTTTGGTGTTCTCAGCCGTCAAGATTAACTTCTGGATCTACCTATAAAAACCATATTGTTGTTTTGGTAACAGTTAATGCTCGGCTTCAGATTGCATTCCCTTAGGCATTTCTTAACCACGGTGCTGATTGTGCTTTGGTAATTATTTCTTCAACAACCACACCAAAAGCAGCAGCAAGAAAATGAAAAAAGCTGCACATTCTAGCTTAAATATTGATTTAAATGAAGAAGCAATTTTAGCAGACAATAACTTTTTATTTCATTTCACTACTATATTGTTGCACTAATTGAGCCATTAATCTGCTGTTGAGTTCACCAAGTGCAAAATCTTCCATAATGTAGATTTGTTTGGAGTTTTAACAGCTGAAATTCCTAGAAAAAGTTGCCACATTCCCAAACAAAAGAGAATAGTTATCTCTTGTAAATATTAGGCATTACTAATCCTCCAATTTTCTTATGATAGTAAATTGTAAGACACAAATAAAAGTTAACAATATATCAAGAGCACAATATCTTTTACTTAAACATACGCTGAACCCATCGAATATGAGATAAAAGCGCCTTTGTGCAATTGTGTGTAACAAACAGAAGACGGCATGCCCCACCCCATATATATATTCTTGATTAGCACGAACTGAAATAATTTAGCTGAAATTTGAATATATATTCTTCTAAGCGATAAGCAAATCGACTTTAAAATTTGTTTTTCCGAAATCTTGTCCCATTTTTTAATATATCGATAAAAATAAATTTTTAGACTTGGTTTCTCATATAGTTGCATTTCACTTTTTAGATAGCTCCTCCCATTCAGCCCAAGAATTGAAAATCAAATTTTTAAACCTAGAACCTTACGATTGAATGCAACATTTATGCACTTATGGAAAATAAAATTAGAAGTTATTCAGCATTACATTTCCAATAGTGTAGAACATACGGAAGAAGCAGTCAAAAAACCAAAGTAGCACACTCGGTAGAAGTTTTCTTACTTGCTGCTAGTCGAGATTCTTTAAAAATACATTCTGACGACCTTGGAGTGTCATAAGGTAAAGAGATCAAATTTTTGTACTCTGTACCGAAAGAAAGGAAGAAGAACATATGCATTTATGGATTTACTTGACTGAAGTAGCACACAATGGACATAATTAAGAGATATTTAAATTATTGACCAGGTCTAAGTTGTCTTATAACAGGAAACAGAGTATAATGCAGTTCAATAGTTTCCAATGCAATGTTCCTACATTTTCTCTCCTTGCCTCAGGTATTATTGCAAATTAAAAATATAGCGGAGCGAATCGAATTATCGAGACAACAGAGCAATTATGTCAGCTGCGAAATGAAAACAATATCTGAACAGCACTCGATACGAACGTCCCCAACTCATGGAGCGACTTTCCAAAAACTCCACATGCTGGCAAGACGAGGTCAAATCGGAGCTGTGCAATCGATTTTGCCCGGCACTTGACTGACTGACTGGCAGGCGGACAGGCGGCCAGACAGGCAGTGTACTGCAGCCAACGAACGGTGGATTGGACAGGCAATTTGTAGACTTTTAAAATCGTTTTCAAATGGAACAGCGGCCAGGCAAACAGGCAGGCTGTCCAACCAAAGACTGGACGTGCGATTGCGGTTGAGGCAACCTGTAGCAGCAGCTGTTGCTCGATCGCGGCATCGATCGACAACACAAAAAGCGCATGCAAATTAATAGCCGACTTTGGCCGAAAACAAAAATTAATTGATCACTAGAGATCACAGCCGCAGCCCAAGCCGAGCATATCTATTGCAAAGCTGACTGACTAACCGATCGATAGCCGATCGCTACGAGTTATGTTGGTAAATGCCCGCATATTTGGCCAGATCTTATGGCCAACTTCCTGAGGTAGCAGCCAGGGGACACGGTCTGTCTGATTGTCTGGTGAAATGATTTTTCATGGCTCAATTAACAAAATTTTTTCAATTAACATATTCACGCAATAATTGCCAGCCCAGGGCGGGGTTGCTCCCAACCCACGCCGTTTGCTAGTCTGTGGTCAGCGTTGCGGCCCACGCCCAGCATCAGACACGTGTCAAACTTCCGATCATTAGAGGCGCATCGCAGTCACGCCCACAGAGCTGCAAAGACCGAGCCCTAATTAATATAACAGACAAAACAATTTTAATGCCACACTTTTATTATTTTTTTTAATAATATTTCTTTTTGAAGGCCTCACAGCCGCATTGATAAATTATCGAAAATGCAGTTTAGCGTGTGCCACAGACACAAAAGGAATTGAGATTAATAATCAGAAAATATCTACAAGCCATCGGCTGCGTTGGCGATCTCCGTCTAATGCTGCATAATTAATGATCGTTGTGGAAAGCGACGAAAATTTGTCGGCCAATCCAATGGATTAATAAAAAGCCAAACTAAAATCAACAAACACATTTCGAAACGCGGTATTTTGACTTGGGAGCTAAGAAAACACTTTAATGATTCTAAGTCTAGAAATGCTATATTACTTATATACTACTTGAGAAACCGATAATCTGGGGCCCCTTGTAAATCTATGATTATACGAGAAAATGCATTTATAAATATATCGGGACGGCTGCTTTCACAATTAATGGTTTGATTAAAGTAACGTCTTATTAAACAAAACAAAACAAGATTTTTTATCAGAATAGGAAGCTTTTTTATACGATGGAAACCCTATGCCAAAAATTTAAAAAACTTCAATAAACAGAACCAATTTTAATTATAATTTACGATTAATGGCTTTAACGATTCCAGTACCAGAATATGTCAATCAGAATGTGTTATATGGTATTATATATTGTAGCGTGTGCAGATTTAAATTTAAATTGCCACAGAATTCATATCTTACGATGTTGCAATCGCTGATGGAGCAACCCAACAAGCAACTCGGCCAACGAACACCCCGGAGCCAAACTCATTGCAAATACATACCAAGTGCACGAAAACGTATTTCGTTTTATTTTTCTTTGATTTTTACTTTTTTTTTTGTTTTTTTGTTTAAGTTGGTTGGGTTGCATTATCGTCTAATTGCATCGCCAGCGCCGCGGAGAGCGAAGTCGACGTCGATGCTTGTGGCATTTGGCGCGTCAACAAACGAGCCGCCAACGCGGACACCGCTACTAAAGAGCCAGAGTTCAAGTCGCAAAACCCACCCAACCATCCAAAAACAGCGAACCGCCCACCCTCCCCCTTAGCAGCAGCAGACCACTCAAAGAAACCAACCGCGAGCCGTTCCATTCATCATTTTTCGTTTAGTGACGCGCGTGCCTCGTGCGGCCCAAATCGACGTCTGTTGTTGTTATTATATTTTCACAGATTTTCAAATTGAGACGTCATGATCTTGTCGGTTTTGGTCTCGGTCTTGGTCTTGTGGTCAGGTATCCATTGTATGCTGTTCGGTTTAGACTATGAGTACAACATTTATTTTTGTATAAGGCACTAGCATGCATGCTATAGAGCTTATATTATAAGAAACATTTGCTTTAACATTGAACAATGAACAATGTGAATACTACGCAGAATCAGTACAAATAAAAATACAAATACAACCGATCTATAAATTAACTTATGATTATATGTAGTTGCATAAGCTGCAGCCTGAATTCTATTCAATTTCAAGATACTCTCTTGTTCACACACATATCTATTAAAATTTCTTCTTTTGTAATACGTATAACACTGTAAATTGTGATAGATATATAAAAGTTCACCTTCTTTGAGCACAATTTTTATTAGGAAAAAAGTCATGGCTAATTAATATGTATGTTAAATTAAATGCAACAAAAAGGTATTTTTGGTTTTATTCTCTTACAGTGATGGCTCGCAAATTAGAACGCTGCGTCTTATCCATACTTTTAATCCACAAATAATTTTATTTTTTTTTGTTTTGTAGAAACTTGAGAAATTACTGATGGGCTTTAAAAAAATGTATATTTGAAGAGATGCGAAAAACTCGATCATTTATCAGAAATCTTAATTCATTTAAATTAAAGACCTTAATTTATGGAAACGTTTTCGAGCGACCACATTTTTTAGCATTCTTCTATGCCTTCATCTCTTAATGTTTGTTCTTTCTTTGAAATTCTTCCGACAGTTTCTAAATTATTTAAATCCCGAATTGACATTCTTTTTAAAAACTGATTTCCAAATGAAAAAAAGATTGAAGTTAAGTGCATGCTCGATAAAAAGAAGATGAAAATTTACACACAATTACTTTACATCTTTATAAATAGAAATCAAACACGCTTCAACGTGACATATATGTATAGATAAATATAATGTAAAATATCGTAAAAATTTTTGGTTTACGCCTTTGGTGCAATAAAATTCAAGCGATTTACAGACTTATCGTTAGTTAGCCCGAGGGCGAAGTATGTACAGTTTTTCAATGAACTCGATCGATGATCAGTGATCGTTATCGTTATCGTTATCGTTATCGATCAACTAGTAGTGATAGCGCGATTGCTCCACATCAGATGCATCGTCCTCCTCCTCATCACTGGTCGAGGGCGGCGTCTCTAGATTGGCCACATCCACATCTAGGTAATCCTCTTTGGCCTGCAGAAGCTTGTCCATGTACTCCACGATCTCCGTGAAGGGCGGCCGTGCGCTGGCATCAAAGTGCCAGCACTGGCGCATCAGAATATAAATATTCATTGAGCACTTCGCCGGCTTCTCCATGCGCTGTCCGGACATCAGATAGCTGTAGAGCTCCTCGGCGGACATAATAGCCGGATATGGTTGCGCTCCAAACGTCATAATCTCCCAGAGGAGTATGCCATAGGACCACACATCGCTCTGTGAGTCATAGAACTTTTCCTGCAGCGACTCGGGCGCCATCCACTTGATGGGCAAGCGCCCATTGGTGTTCTTGCGATAATAATCCGTACTCTGAATATCTCGGGCCAGTCCAAAGTCGGCAATCTTGAGCACGTAGTCATCGCTGACGAGAACATTGCGTGCCGCCAGATCCCGGTGAATGCAGCGCCGCGAGGCCAGATAATCCATGCCGCGTGCTATTTGATGGGCAAACTTGATCAGATCCTTTTCGGTGATCACATGCTGTGGTGCTGGCGGCGCTGACTGTGAGCTACTGTCCAGCTGCTCCTTGCTTAGAGGTCGATTCTTGTACAGGAAGTCCTTCAGATTGCCATGGGGTGCATACTCCACGATGACATAGAGCGGTCCGCTCTGGCTGCAACAGCCCAGCAGATTGATGATATTGATGTGCCTGCCAATGATCTTCATGACCTCCATTTCACGCACCAAACTGGCAATATCGTCGTCCGTGTGACCTTCCTTGACCATCTTGACAGCGACAATGGCATTGTTCACCTCCGCCATGACGACACGCCCAAAGGCGCCCTCGCCAAGAGTGGCGCCCAAGACCAGTTGACTGCGCGGCAGCTCCCAGTTGGAATCAAGCGGGAATTCGTATTCGTTGAAGGGCACGGGCTCGTTGCCGCTCTGAAGCACAGTGGTGCGTTGCTTCTCAATGCGCACCACCGGCATTATCATCGTGTCCATTGAGCCGCTGGAATCGCCACCGCTAGCCGGCTTATAGATGATAACCTTTTTGGTCCACTGATGCACCGTCTCGATGCGCTGCTTGAGCAGCTTCTCGTGCTTCATCTTGCGCACTGCATACGCCACAAAGATTATGCACAGCATGATCAGCAGAAAGGTGACCGTGATGAATATGGCCATCATTCCATTATCGCGCACCACACTGCCCAGATTCGCCTCGAGCAGCTGCAGGCTGCGCACCACACGCAAATAGGCGCGACTTGTAGATTGGCCCAGGCTGTTGCTCTCGATGCACGTGTACCAGCCCTCCTGCTCCTGTGTCACATTCGTAAACTCCAAACGATCCACATCCTCGACTAGAACTGTGCGATTCTTGGAGCAATCATTTACGCTCTTGCAGGGCATAAAGATCCAGGCCTTCTTGCTGGTCAAATCCGATAAATATTTGCACTCCATTTGGCCGCTGTCATTGATTAGAAGCGTCAGATTGGCGGGCCCTTTGAGTAGAATGGGCTTGTGATTCACCCGATCGCTGACCATCACGTTCATCACATGGCTGAGACAGCCCAGCGGATTGCACACCTTGCAAATGTACTGGTCCGAATCCTCCGGCACCAGATCCTCCATGGTGATTTGCCACTTGGTCTTGCGATAGCTGCCATAGGTGCGCGTCCAATCGCTGCTGCCATTGCGATACCAGGTGATATTTGGCTCTGGATTGCCCGCCGCACTACAGCTCAGCGACAGCGTTGAGCCCGAGGGTCGCGTATACAAGGTGCTCATTCGTTTGGGATTCCTAAAACGTGGCGCAAACTGTTGCTTGGCATCGTTGCTGCCACCGGCACCGCCCGCGCTGCTGCCAGAGCCGGCGCCAGTCAAACCAACCTTGTCATCTTCATCCGCATCCTCGTCCTCCTCTGCATTGATACTGTTTTGTGTGTGTGTCACATTGATATAGCTGTTGTTGCTGTTGTTGTTGGGTGTACTATCATAGTCCTTGGTTAGCTCCTGTGAACTAGCTGCTGGGGCTCGCCGCGCTGTTGCGCCCCAAACGCATAACAACAGCAGGATCAGCAGGCTTCTGGACATATTGTGGCAGCGTCTTACGCTGGCAACGCTTCTCCGGCAACTGGCAGACATTCCCTTTTGCTATATGTCTAAATATATATATATACTTTTGTAACTGTAACTGAGGCAGCGCACACAAAGTGGCACTCGCCCTAACTCCGAGCTGCTGCTCCTTCCAGCAAATGGGGTAGCGTCGAGTTCAATCCAACAACGTTGTGTCGCATGTGTTGTTGTTGTTGTTATTTTCTATTCACCGGAAATCCACTTTAGCTGAGCGATTGCTCTCTGAATCTCACTCTCTCTCTCTCTCTCTCTCTCTCTCTCTCTCTCTCTCTCTCTCTCTCTCTCTCTCTCTCTCTCTCTCTCTCTCTCTCTCTCTCTCTCTCTCTCTCTCTCTCTCTCTGTCTCTCTCTCTCTCTCTCTCTCTTCACCCTCGCGCTGATCAGTGATCTCTTCTAGTTTTTCTAATTTATGATGGAAATAACAACAGTTGCCGCTGGCTCCAACTTGATCGCTGGCAACATGTGTGTTTAACGCGGCGACTTTGAAGTGCGCTCTGCGATCAGTATCGGAATCGGATGCTGTGGCCGCGCTTCTGATTTTTGATGATCACCTTGCCAAGTAACGGAAATACACTTCCAAAATGTTGTATGCACTCATGGATTCTTAATTATTGTCGCTTGTGGCCTGTGATTTATTCAGTGCGCTGATGGATTTATGGCAGCCATGTTTGCTCTGCAACATGTCACAGCCACATCGTATCGCGATCGTGGGCGTGGTGCATTTCATAGATCATACGGCAGCTGCTTGGGGATGACTGCAACACCTGGAAAAATGCAGACGATTAGATTTATGCGTGTTTCCGTTTTGTGTACTAAGTTTTCTTATTTTTACAAATTTAACTCAAAATAAGAAATAAAAGTACCTAGCGAACGCGACATGAAAGCTATTAAAGGAGGCGCCCCAAGAAACCGCAAACAAGTGCTGCATTTGAGTTAAATATTCCATATATTTGAGTGTGTATTTCTGGCATGAGGGGTGCAAGACAGTCAAAAGACTTGGGAGCATGGGGGAAATACCCCTAGAGCAAAATTAAGATCCATACAGAACAAACAACAAATTGTAAGTCGCACATCCGCTTTGTCTACCGGAAAATGCCCATATATTGAGTTCAATACAATTTTTTGTTTTTCCCAATTTTGCCAATAAACAAAATGCTTTTCGCACGAAACCGTTAAAATTGCTCGGCGTTTTTTTTTTTTTTTTTTTTTTGTTTATAAACATTCCCAACATTTTGCGTCTCAAAAATATACGTTAATTGCGAACGTTTTTAATGCACTTAATAAATTTTCTGCTTGCCAATTAAGCTCAGACTGAACCACTGAGATTTTTATATGCTCAAGCTCTGATTAAAAGCCATTTACATTTTGGCAAGGCTTAATTAAAATGTCGCGCACATTTCCGCTGAGGTTTTTTTTTTTTTGCTGCTTTCATTTTCAAGCGCGTGCCACACAAATTGAAGGCCCTATAAAGCGAGAAATGAGCTCACATGGTCAGATCGGCGTAGTTAATATATACAAAATATTAAAAAATAATAAAAACAACAGTGATTTTTATTTTTTTCAAAATAGCTTTACGACTAACGCGCACTATATATCAAAAACATGCGCATGTAAAATCAATAAAATTTTGGGGCCACTTTTATGGGGAAAATTAAAATGGGACAGTTCGTAACGGCTTTTTGAAGCCCGCAGCAAATGCAAAACAATTTTTACACGTTTGCCCTTCTATTAAAAAAAAAAAAAGAAAATACTGTACAGTTTGCTGGGCAAAATATATATATATATATGCACATATATAGAGCAGGAACTGAGGGACGTTGATTACCTACAAGTACTCGGTACAGCAAAGCTGCATGTAGTTCATTTAGATGGCAGCTACTTTTCGATAATGTTCTATTTTTTGCACAAAACACAGATACAGATACACAGCTACACAATAACATAGAACAGTAGCGCTCGTCTATATGACGTTGAGGGTGCGTTATATTCCGTGGTTCTCCGATCTTTAGCGCACGTTGTGAATTTCCACAGCTCTGCTCGAATACTGTTCTAAATTCAGCAGAGACGACTTTGTAGTATATCGTGGTCGCTGCCAGAGGCCAGACAGAGGCTGCTGCTGCTCCTACGCTCAAAAACCAAATAAATACTGAAAACCCAACTACTGCGCGGCGCGTCCTACTCGGGGCAACTGCGACTGCGCCTCAAACGACTCAATTTAGTGGCCCTGCTTCCACAGTTATTTTATTATTTTTATTTTCGTAGTTTTTTTGTTGCTGTTAAATTCAATGTTTGTTGCTGTTGTCGAGCACATTCAGTTCTGTTGGGTATTTTTCTTCTTTTTTTTTTTTGCCGGGTGGGCATACAAATGTCGCTGGCTGTTCGCGCTGTTTGTCGATCGTTGCCTTCGCTTCCCGCATCTTTTGCGCCTTTTTGCTTAACAGCGGCAGACAGCCTTAATTTTTCACATATGCGTGTCGATGCACTCTCTCCCTCTCTCTCTCTCTTTCTCTCGATCTCTCTCGCTTTCTCTGTTTCTCATGCTCACTCCCGCTATCGCTCTCGCTTAATTAAAACAGACACAGTCGCTCTCAATGTGCTCTTCTGTGATCTTTCCAGCCCACATCTGTGCCACAAAGGCAACAAAAATTAAAAGAAATTAAAAACAGACGCTAAGAATGACATGTAATCGACTAAGAGATACCCAGTAGTGCGCGAGCTAATGTGGGTTGCGTTTGAAAGCCTCATGTGTAGCACAAGTTCGATCTAATGGGTATCTTCTCACACAACAAATATATTTAACTAAGCCCTAACATGCAATATTATGTTAAATATAGTTATAATAAACATATAGCTAATAATCATTTGACTAAAAATCATTAAGTAGCACTCGCTCCTTTTTAGAATAAAACAATTTCATGAGTAAAGTACAAAATATATCACAGGATTTTGCATATTTTAAATAAACATAAAACATTTTCAATACAAATACAACCTATCTTCGATTGAGGAATTTCGAGGAAAAAGTGATTGACCACATTTAAATAACGTTTATTCATGTTTTCAGTATATATTTGACATTTGCTCCGAGTGTAAAGTTATACCGAAATTTTGATATTGAAAAATGGAATAATTTTTTACAATTCAAAGAAAAATATAACGAAATAAATAGTTTGTACACTTTTATATAAATACAACATTTCCACTACTAACAGAGTCGCTATTAGATGCAGACCCAAAAGCACATTTAAATCATGTTTACAGGGTATAACATATTGTTTAAAGTTGTTTGCTAGTCCCCGCCCCGCTGGCCGGCAACTGTTCGCCACCCTTTTTAAACAGATCGCGGCTATGGTTTTGGAGTACCCGTTCGAGACAAGGGAAAATATTGTTTCGAGACACATTTGGTGAGCTATTGTTGTCATTCGAACTCGGAGGGACTCGCATCGCCGCCGCGCCCTGTCTGACATGTGGGCACATCATCATCATCATCTTGAACATCAACATCAACATCATCAGCCACAACCAGAGGCGGGACTGGGCCTTTACCTACACTTTAGCCTGTGCTTCGATTTCTGTTTGCTGTTCGTGCCACATATGTGTTGCATGTGTTGCATGCGGCATCTGCACCAATCCACTGGAATATGCTCATCGCACGAGTCTGGAAGTATCGTGGGGAAAAAAAGGGTTTCCTCACTAGTTTCCCCCGTTCATGTCAGCCAAAATACCAAAACTTTTGACCTTCGTACCATACTCGACTTATAGGTAATATATTTCCTGCCCAGGCCAAAAATAACCCCATGATTTGCAATATTTGGCAAATAAACAGAAACGTATACAAAGAAAATGCTCATTCGGCTAACAATTGAATATGCCGCTTGTTGGAATTGGCCAGCGATTTTTCAAGTTCAAATAATTTTCAAATATTTCACAGGCAGAAAGAAAATACTTTTGTGTTTATATCAAAAACAATGCGAGTGAGCCGTGCAATTCGCAATGGCTCGTTGCATGCGAATACGTGCCAAAACCGAAGGTTATTAACTAGTTCAGGTGTGTGTATACCCTATAATTGCCCAAACAACAATGCAATCCAGCTCTACAAATAGCTAGGCAAACCCATCTCTAACGATCTACACAAAAACGAAACAATCAAGCGACTGCCAAAGCCAACAAAACAGCAGCTAAAACAGAAGCACAGAAGCTGCCCCAACAGGCCACATTCATATATAGTATACATATACCCATACACTTCCACTACAGAGAGAAAGACAGACACATCATTTAGAATGTTTGTTTATGCGGCGGGAAAATATTGCATGTTCATATCTGTAGTATAATGCCGACGTCTCGGCCAATATACGTATATGTACGTGTTGATAAACACACGCGCTGTTGGAGAATGAAGTGTAGTCAAAAATTTCATGGGAAAAATTCTCAAAACTAAACGGCTAGTTATTGTATAAAATGTGTTTGCTTTACAGTGGTCACTCGGTAATTACAACTGTAAAATTTTTGTTTATATATTCATATTTTTAAATACTTTTTAATGCTTTGTGGAATGTTGTCTATAAAAGTAACTAAAAATAAAATTATTGTTTTTATAAACATAGAATCAAAAAATGTTATATTAAAACCATAAAGTTTCATTGGAATGAATATGTATCATTTTTAATAGAGAATTCGAAGATTTTGCCGTATATTTCAAGAATACGATAAAATGTGAGATTCTAAAACTCTTATTCGTGCGATTTTGCTAATGTTATCTTTTGTGCTTAACGAATAAGGTCTATGAAAAATAATTTTAACATTAATTTCAAATTGATTGAGATTCAAAGAGTATTTAATTAGGCATTATTTAAGGCCAATTCATTCTAATTAGCGTGCGACTACTGTACACGAAAGAGTGCTTTCATTTTGGTCATAAAGCATAAAATTTGTGGCATGTGCCGTAAATGGGGGCATTGCAGCAGTGCGGTTGGGGGGTTTAAAAAAAAACAGTAAAACGGTTTTGATAATTGAACGATTGACTGCGGACTCGCATTCAAATAAACAACACAAATTGGACTGGACACAATAGTTTACCCCACAGCAAAGTAAACAAACAACAACAAAAATCCCAAACGGGTTAAAAAGTCAAATTGCTGCGCGTTGGTCAATCAAAAAGTGGTCTAAACAAATAATTTGCGCAATTACGCAAGTGAAAAGCAAAAACAACACGAGAAAAAAAAATAAAATAAAAGAACTATTTTAAGTATAGTATATAATAGATTAGTATATATGTATATTGAGAAACTTACCTTAGAATTTGTTTTGTTGAGATTCCTCTGCCAATTAGCGTATCCAAAATATATATATCCACGCCTTGATCTAATATAAATATTCTTGTGCAACACAAAATTATTTTCCTTTTGCTTTTAATACTAATTGATGATATTTTTTGTTATTTATTCAGCGCTTTTAGCGTTCCACTTAAAATTCCAGAAATATTTCCATAGCACTTAAGAAATAATAATAACTAACTGCAGGCACACTTGAAACACCGAAATACACAAAACACACTGCAAGCCGATCGATCAGCAGCACGAACAATTCTATCAAATAGGTATTACGAGTTATATACTTAGTATTAATAATTCTTGCACATTCTGTTAACGGTACGGTACTCGGTTCTATTCGGTTGGGTTCGGTACGGTTCGATACGTAACTGTAACTATGCCTGTTGTCAGATCGCAACTGAATTATGCTCAGCGCTCGACAAATAAATCTCTTCAATTGAATGAGGGCCAGAATGAAACGAATTCAACGAGTGGCTGCTGTCGGTTCCCCCAGTTGAGCATTTACTGGAAAACGTCTCTTCATAAACAAAATGTGCCACACACACACACCCACACACGCATACACACACGCACACCATACAACACTCAGCACACATTGTATAAAAAACACATGTGCTAAAAGGGGCGGTCGCAAGGGCGGAGGGCTGGCCCACACTCACACGCCGCGACGTTGCGATATTGCGATGCTGCGGCCTTCCCTTGGAAAGTGAAATGTAATTGAGCGTTTTTCTAAATTTGTTCAGAAATTGAGTCAAAAGTAAACCAAATGATTTCGCTCAACGGACAGCGGACAATGGACGAGTGCCCAAAGTGTTGCATAGTTTTATGCGCCCAAATAAATTCAACACGCACGACTTTCAAGGGATGTGTGAAAAATAATTACACGGGTGTGGGACGGATATCGCACCAAAAGCCCAATTCCAAGCCAAGTCCGATTTTTGGTAACAAGTCAAGAGATTTGGTCGAAAAAAAAAACGACGACAAAATTTAACCAATGAGTGGAATTAATTTAAATGCCACATCGGACCACTATATCACATAGCTGCCATAGGAACAATCGGTTGAAAATTAAGTGTTTGTATGAAAAAACATTTTGTTTATCAAGATATCTTGATCAAGCTCGGCATTTATTAGTTTTACTATACTACTCGTATATATGCAAAATCTTATTAATTTCGGAGTACTATATCATATATCTGCCTTAGGAACGATCGGTCGAAAACTAGGTTTTTGATTAAAAGCCGTTGTTGTTTATCAAGATATCTTGACCAAACTCGGCTTTAACTATTTTCCCTTTGCTTTTTAGATACGGGCAAAGCACTATAAGCATTATGAAAAGGTTGGGTCTGCAAGGGTATTATTTCTATTCATAATAATAACAAGTAGACTAGAAGTCGGGAGCTCCCGACTAGGGGATACCCTCAACCCTCTTCTTTCAACATCAAATGAATATATATATTCTATTTTAGAAGCTATATGTCAAGTTTGGTGACTCTAGCTCTTATTATTTACCAAAATTGCACAAAAACAGGATATCGATATCGAGTTGTATCGATTGCTTGGAAACGGAGTAAGTTATCGATTATAGGAAACAAACTCGATCTGCGCGGGAACTAGGAGCACCTACATCTAATATTTCAAGTCTCTAGCTCTTATAGGTTCTGAGATCCTTGCGTTCATACATACGGACGGACGGACTGACAGACGGACAAGGCTATTGATGCTGATCAAGAATATATATGTATACTTTATGGGGTTGGAGATGCTTTCTTCTGCCTGTTACATACATTTGGATTTTGCACAAATACAATATACCCTTATACCCATTTTAAAAGGGTTCAGGGTATAAAAATAAGAGTAAGAGAAAGTGTGCATAATACTCCCAAAATGTATAAATTATATACATATATATGGTCCGATCCAGCTGGTTTTGACATATGTGCTGCGTGCAACAGAAAGAGGGACTTCTGCATAGTGTCATTAAGATAGCTTTAAAACTGAGAGACTAGTTCGCATAGAAACAGACAGACGGACATGGCTATATCGACTCGGCTGTTGATGCTGATCAAGAATATATATACTTTATGGGGTCGGAGATGTCTCCTTCTATGCGTTACACATTTCACGACAAAATTACAATACCCTCTGCAAGGGTATAAAAAATATTAAAAATAACATGCAATTTAAGTTAGTGAAATCAATTACTTCTAAATGTGATTAATCTATTTATAACAGATTTAATTAATGAATAGGTAATATTTTAAAATGCTGAGCTATTTTCCAATTATACCCTTGTAAAGGTTATTTTAATTTGGTCATGCAATTTGTATCGCATAGAAGAAGGAATCTCCGACCACCTTAAGTGTATATTTTCTAGATCACTATCGACAGACGAGTTGATATAGCCATGTCCCGTCAATCTATGCGTCCATATCTGGTCTCTCTGTTTTCTTGTACGGACAAACTTTGTGTTTAGAAATCTTGACTAAACTAGGTATTTATTAGTTTAACTATGCTCCTCATATAGGAAATTCCTATCAACATCGGACCATCATATCATATGGCTGCCAAAGGAATGATGGCTCCATAATTACGTACTTGTAGAAATAACGTTGTTGTTTAAGAAGATATCTAAACCAAACGTGGTATTTTAAGGTTTTACTACGCTCCACAGATATGAGCTAGATTTTATAAATATTAGACCACTTTTTCAGAAAGATCTACCGAAAATATCTGCCAAACATATAGTTTTTATATGGAAACATTTTATTTTAAGCTGCCTTTACCAAACTCAGCAATTAGTAAGGATTACAATTGTCGTCCCATATCTGTTCGTTAAAGAGAAGAAAGATTACATTATTTTCAAAAATGTACTTGTTTGAAAGGCCCTTGAGTTATTTGCACTTTAATAAATCGTGTGTGTTTGACTAACTAATTGATGGAAGCGTCTGTAAACGTCTTTGGGCTGAAATCAGATGGTCCACGACACATTAATCAATTGCCTAACAAGTTTTATAGTTTGTTGCGGACTCCACGCCGCATTCCGCATTTGAGCCAAGAAGTTGTATGGAAATGGGATTCATTAGTCGCCACAATGAGGCACTAAGTCAGTTAACAGTTATTAATTACGGGCTACTTAACTGGCCAGCCAGTTACATCAGTCGTATGCCCAGTAGCCAAGCCGTTTGTGCCGCAAAAGAAAGCCGTCTAATGAAAAGACACTTGAGAGCCTTCTCAAAGCACGCACGCTGCGAACCCCAACAAGACAATGGGCAATCGTCAAAGGGTTGCAAACAATAGAAACATAATAGGGGGAAAACAAAAACCCAATATGAAAAAAAAAATCTATATAAAACAATTAACGATTATTGGCTGTCAATTGTGTTGGCGGAGATATCCCGCTTTATGCCAAATGGCGTTACGCATGGCTGATTAATTGATGGCTAACTAGTTGGTGCCTGCCGGTTACACTTACCGACTCTTTTCTCAACTTTGTTTATATTTTTCTTTTTTTTCTGTCTTTTTTAAACATGCGTTTGTTCTGCGCCAGTTTACGGCCTCGTAAAGCGACCAGCACCCCACCAATGTACGGTCATAATACTTAAATTTTATGCACTCTCAACTTGCTACTCATCTGCGTGGGGAAAGGGGTTGTAGAGGGGACAATTGCAGTCACATTGCATGGGCTTCCGTATGGTTTTCCATTTAGCCAACAGGCCAGAAAAGTTGTTGGCGTTATGTACATAGATATAAATTTTGAAAATTGGCTCAGCGCAGTCTGGGAGCGGGAGCCTGAATTGGAAACGGGACCAAAAATAAACACACAACTGCCTGACATTGGCTTCTAAGCGGGTTTGCGACACGATCCAACGATCGAAAGATCTGCCGTTCGTCGAAGATCGGCGACGATCTCGTGCAGTGCAGCCAAACAGCATAAAGTTAATTGCTAATATGATTAATTGCACATTAACATGAAGTTTTATAGCCAATTATATGCAAAATATGCCACGTTTGCCAATTGCTACAATTCGAACTGCCTGGGAATTTTCCTGAAAAAAAAAAACAGCTTAACTTGATTTCGGCATACTTTATTGAATGCCTTCAATACTCCAGCAATCCACATACATTTTAGTTAATTCTCGATTCTGATCATAAGTCAAATCTAAGCGGATTCCTTAATATTTACAAATATGAAATAGATTTC